CCGTTCGCGGGGGAAAGTTTTGCTCGAAACCGAGTGGTGTGCCCATATCATTAATGTTGTGAGCCTGAGCCAGGCTATGATCCGGCTTGTATCTATCATCCAATTATCTGTTACTTATCAGTGAAGTGAGAAGTGTCTTACAGAATCCGCTCATCTTCGAATATGACGAATATAGTTGTGTTAATCTCAGTTCACTTTTACACTCAGCTGGTATATTTTGATAGCATTTACGACATTACATTGTGCTTTTCCTATGATTAACTGTCAGTTTGGTATGAGAAATTCAGTTCTGATGTTTTGAATGCCGTATTCATATTTTGGCGTGTTCGTGGACAGTACCCAATCGTTTCGTTCGACTGCCTCAGATATTATGTTTATTCATGTTCAGTTTCTGCATTCTTGCTAAATCTTTGGTTTCCTGTGGTGAAATGTTTCTAGATGTCACTCAGTTCGCACCAGAATCATTTGCCACTATATTTATGATGCTTGATTGAAATGGTCTGCTTTATTGAACGTGCTGTTTAAACCCGCAAAGATATTGTATCATGTGGAAATCCAGTTTCGATTAATGTTGTGTTAGTATTTTAAAGATCGCTGCTAATTTTAAACTGCCACTGTGAGTTAATGTAATCGCTCCGTCGTGGTTGATGAATTCATTTTTTTGCATCTAACTCGTTTCGTGCATTCTCAACTTCGTCAGTATTTTAAATTTCCAATACATATTCGCCCAGTGGATGTTTTGCATTGTGAGTTAGTCGCCTGTTCTGGATGGTGTGATTTCGTGAGCAATCATGCGCAGACAAGTATGATCATTAAATTTATATTGCTAAGCGAGCGCACTCTATATCCACTTATTTCAAATCTCATTTTCAGAGACACATGCACCACAATAAAATTACATAAATTCAATTACTGATATTTGCGAAGTACAACTCATAAAATTAATCGATTTAGAGTGGAGCAATATGAGTTTGTTGCCATCTGATGAAGATTTAAGTAAGGCTGTGTTTTTTTGTGATCTGTGAAGGTTGAGAAACGAATGAGATTCAATATGTATCGGAAGGACTTACGACGAAGTGTGTTACGAAATGAGATATATAAAGAGAAAATGTGGAGTTGACCAATACTGCAGATGAATCGCGTTCGAATATTGATATGAGATGCTCCGAATGGTGGTATACGAAGTGATCTATCCGAAGAGAGATATTCTGATCGCTTTGGCAGTGATTAGGCTTAGAATGACGCTTATGTTGCACTTTATGATTGTTCGGCAGTGACCGTTGGATTGGTTTCGGTCAGGATTTTGATCGTACACAGTTCTGGTCCCTTACCATGGATACACTATTATTCACGGTGAATATTTGACGTGTCTACTGATTAATGCAGTTCATGTCAATTAGTTACCGATGAGAAAATGAGATGATTCAATGTAGATCGGAATGTCAGGACCAGTGGTTCTCATAAGGGGAATCTAAGATTGCCGGGAGTAGGAATTAAAGAGGCTTGTAAATTACTGAGGTTTGATTTTTTTATTTTAAATATTCGATGATATTTCCGGAATCAAAGAAGTGATTTCTTTGATAGCACCGATGAACCCTTGACTGTTCGATCAGCTTATTGATTTTGTTCAGATTTATCATCAAGATGTAATGAATTATCAGCGCAGGGGAGCGAGAGTTCTTGTGGATTGAGGAATGACGACGGCCAGTCATGTGTCCAAGCGCGGAAAGAATGCATGCGCTAGTCGAGCCTTATAATGAACAAATCTCATGCTGACAGTTGACGTTTTTGGAATCGATTCCGACTGATCAAGTGAAATTAGAATGCAGTGGGTTAATGTTAATGAGCAAATGTTAACAACAGCAATGATGGATTACATCGAAATGAATCTCAAAAACTACTTGACGTGATGCATTTCTTGTCTCCTTGCAATAAATTGAAATGTTCACTGGTATAAGAAGGAAAAACATTCTAATGCTATTATGTGATCATTTTCGACCTATCCTGATGCTGTTCTCCCCAACTGTCTTAAGTGTTACCTGTTACTTGAAATTTTTTCAGTCTCTTTGAGTTTCAAAAACGTGTGAATTACTTGCATTCTGCAGATATTTATATTAAATATCAACAAACCATTCACTGTTATTAATATTATCAGTATGTTGCTCATCAATGGTAAATTCTAGCAATGGTGCATAATGACCGCTCTGAAAATGATAAGGATATAGCAGATGATAAACTCTCACGAACACATGATTGTGGATGTATCAGCAACGATAAGAGAACGAATGCGAAGTGCATAAATTACTTTATGTTATTTCAGTTTTGAAAATGAACACAAGAATAAGCGCCAAAAAATATTCAAAGCAAAGAAGACACGAAATTAATGAAGCATTCAACTGAGTTATGGAAGCGGAAACACATTCAGAGGCCACATGTAATGAATAATTGTAAAATGGTAGTAATTATTACGAAAACTATCACCATCAGTATTATCGATCATCAATCAATAAACATTCTTTTAAAGTAAAAAATATCCACGTTCGAATTTCTGAACTGATAAGGGTAAACGACTTCAAAAGGTATACATTTTAAAAGGAACGATATGGAACTGACTGTAAACTGATAATTGCATTTAATAATGGAAAGTGAGCCCATTAAACTAGATAGGATAAGAATGATCAGACTCCTTCAAATCACCGCAACGAAAGACTTGAATTCGATAAGTGAAATGAAGAAGTCATTTTCTGGACAATCTTTTACTGGATCCATTTGTCAATTGTTAATTATTAGCATTTACAAGGCGAACAACGATAGCGATATTCAGAAGTATGAATAAGATTATATTTTCATGTGACGCTTTCCAATTTCATGCTTTGAGAGAACTGAAAATTTTCTGGGCAGATGTAAGAATATTTGCTCGAAGAAAACACTGCACTCATGAGCATTCACTGATCAATTATGATTCATTGTATGGATTCCATCATTGAGCGATGAACACTTTCATAAAGTGAAATGAAGTAATTGCATTATAATGAAACGGCATCACAAAACGACGAGTTATGTCCACGTGTGCATATGCATAAGCAAAAAGAGGAAAATGAATGAAAATAAAATTGAAAACGAAATTTTATAAAAACAAGAAACCGAACGAAAAACAAAGCAACAAAAACAGATGAGAAGCTTTAAATTTAAATTGATGCTACGAGCTGAATGCGACGGCAGTGCATATGATATCACATCGACAGTTCAGCGTTTCTGATGGAAATGACTGTTCGTTGACGGTGACTGTCGATAAAACGATGCTTAAGTGATTTAGAATAGCACTTAAAAGATCGATGGGAATATCGCTGTGATCAGGCCTGTAACTAGAGTGGAATTCTTCTTGTGTAAGCATTGTTCACTGAGAAGACAAGCAACATCCTGTCTGTGAGGGAAGTTCAGCAGAAGGAACAAAAATCAATCTCAGGGAAATGTATAACTTTAAATCAGTGGACTTCAATCTTCTCGTTCTATTGGAACATTACAGTTACAGGCCTGCTGAGGATGTGTATAACACAAGCACACACACACACACGGATTCACATTATGTGGAAATGATTAAAGCAAGGAAGAGGTGTTGAACGTGGACACTGAGAAGCAACAGTCTCGAAAGCATCAGAAGCACATCGTCGTTAGCTGAATGACAGACGCATAGCTGTTGTATGGTGCTGTTCGTGTTACGCTATCGGATGAACGCAACCAATGAGATTCGCTAAAATTATTTATCATTTAGCATTTCTGCACTAATCAGCTGATTCAGTTTGTTCTTTCTGAGGCAAGTGAATGTTACAGAAACTCGAAAGTGCATAAGAGCAAACTGAATAAATTCGTGTGTCCACCAATTCATAACGCAAGCATCTATTAAGTCCTACTGTAATCCTCGGATGTTTCGCTCATACAAAACAAAACCGAAATTAGGATAGTGTCTAAGTTTATGTGAACGTAACTCCTCAACTGCAATAAGATCTGAAAACGTTTCATACCAATCAATAGTTAATGATTATGTTTATTACAAATAGCACAACTTAATATATTCAACAAATGTTCATCAAATCAGAGGCGATATGAATTTTTGGCACATACACAGTTAACTCTGTAACTGATTACATGCAAAACTGTGGGAAGTATTGCTCCCTTTAAAAATGAAGAAAACTAACAACTTGAATAAAGAATTAACTTAAAAATTTGGCAAATTAAATGACTCGAAATTGAAAACATAAAAGAAATTCCTTCACAAAGGAGACAGTTGAAAACATGTGTTATGAATTGAGAAAAGCGAAAACTATGAAAGGTGAAAGATGGGAAATATGCTCTAGCTAGAGAACATTTGCAAACAATGATTACTATGAAAGGAAACGATTAAAATTTAAAAAACAATGCGAGCGTTTCGGATGGAATTTTTCGGATGGCATTCAAAAGAATGAATTCGTTCCAAACGAGTACAATAAGACTTTATGAAGCGTGTGGGTGCAGTGTGTGAAACATATATCGAATACAGTGCACGATTTAACTGACAAAATTGAAGTGAAAATGTGAAAAGGAAAACGATTTTTTTTCAGGTTCTGCGTACATTGATTAACTTTTTAAAAGCACACAACATCTCTAAAGACATTTTCTAACATTGTTAGAAAATTTCAAAGAATATGTACTAGCCATTCGCAAGAGAATTATTAGTCTTCTTCGTATCGACCAAATGAAAGGAGCAAAAATAAAATTCTGAGAAATGAAGAACCATCTGAAAATGCACCATAGATATAAACATCACTTGATCAAAAAGGCATACATTCATATGGAGCGCAATCATAGTGATTAATCATAAACCTGACATAACATAATGCTATCAAAATATTATAGTATATAATATAAATGATATAAAATAATATTTTCAACAATATATTATTGAAGTTTCATTGATGTTAACGGTATATAACGACGAAGTAGAGCTGGATTTTTGCGTGGCTGAATATAACGATGTGATGTATGTTATGTAGCACGCGGTACGTAAATGTTGAAATAGAACGGCTGCGTCATATTGCAAAACAATAAATTGAGATGAAACTCATTAAAATGGAAGAACGATTGCAGGATAAATGAGTGGATTGTAACTGCTAGGCAATATTTTGAAATATTGAAACGAAATGATAACAATAAACGATCAGTGACAGATCGTTTTGACTGTTCGAAGGTCAATTTATAAACAGCTTCGAACTGTACAGTTGACAATAGATAACACCAAAATTCTTTTAGAGAAGCATACATTGGAAAGAACTCTTCGGTCTGAATGGATTCATTTTATCGTTCGAAAAACCTGTTAACAGAACGTCGTCTTTTTGGACCTCCTGCGCATATCTGAAATTATTCACTATTAAGAAGAACATTGTCCAATTACAGTTCGTATATCTGCAGTTTCGGGGATGTTCATCCGTCGTAAACAGCAACGAGATTAATAGTATAAAAGAAGAGCGATATAGACGTTATCACTATTTTTATTAAGTAGCATCACTCTTACCGTATCAGGTCATTGGCCGACTGAGAAACAAGACCACGACGTACATTACGTTCCCTTCTTAACTGCTCAACCACCTTACGAGCCTGCTGAACGGAATGCAGATCTCTACCACTCATACTTTTACTGGTAATATTCGAATGCACTGAAATATTACATTCATTACCCTTCATATCAATAGGATCACTGAAACATCTGTCGACTAATCAATACAGGATTACATCAAAACGCGATTAAAGTAATCAGATCAAAACCAGTCAATGGCAAGATGGTTTAACAAAATATCCCAATAAACGCGAGACAAATGAGCTATTCTAAATTAGCTGTCATTCCCTCATGAAAACAGCCCACCAAACGAACAAGGATTACTTCTCGGTGTATTGACTGAAGATGCACTCAGAAATCAATTTCATAACAATTGAGGGAACGATTTGGAGAAAGTGGAACTTATCTGACGAATAATCCGAATTACAAGAAGAACTTCCAGTAAGACAANATAACGATCAACCCAACGTTATTAGAAAATTTGTCGGTGCCAATTAAGTGGATTCAAACTATGATTAGATTCGAATGCTAGCGAAAATAATGAATCGTGTAAAATTTAGATAATGATAACGACAACGATAATAACGCTGCTGGCAACAACAACAAAACAATAACACCACGAGAAGGATAAATGACGCACGCGCCATTGATTAAAAATAGCATCCGCAAAAGCGATGCATCATCATCTCTGTGAAAGAGATAGACATTTGCATTCACATCCATCCATCTCTCTCAATGAATACGCATTTGCTACTTATTACGACTGCTTTCTCGCATACGATATTCATTGCGAACGCACTTATAAAATTCACCCAACGCCTCGAAATATAAATTCGCCCCAAGTGCAACTAAACAGCATTACCGTAATAATATTACAAGTAAATTTCATATTATCAACTCTGTGGCGATGAACAAAAAGTAATTTTCGGGCGTTCTGCATCAAGAGTCTGGCTCTAGCATATGTAAACAATGTGTGAAGAGATCTCCTCTTCTTGATTAGCACCTGAGGCTTGAGCGCAGCCTAAAGATGGATCTCAATCTAATCCGAAGCATCAACCTTGGACTAGGCTTAATTATCAGTCGTAAATTAACTAAAATTTCCTTTCAACTTCAGCCATGAGAAAAATCTTCCTCTACGTTGCGGATCCGAACGTCGGCCAGTCACGCATCAGTTCAGTGCACTACCTCTGGCTAAAAATAA